CCGAAACGCTGTGATCCAGAAACAAACCGATATCGTGTCTTGGTGGAGTGGTCCTGAGTTCCTCCAGAGAGAAAGGTACAACATCGAACTACCCGAAAATGTTCCAGACCAGATGCAACCTGCACTGAAAGCAGTTATCGTCAACCCAGATGACCCAGTCGACCTGAAGAAAAAGCAGCCCTTAATCATCCCGCAACCACGCCAGGCAACCGAAACTATCACCCAAGTGGTTCAGTTTGTCCATTTGGCGGAAGACATTCAGCGAGTTGTTGCCCACGACGCTTGCAAGAAATTGGCAAACCTTCATCCGATCTACACTGATGGCCTGGAAGCGTTATACGATCTGAGCACCGATGCCTTCCTGGCATTCTTCAAGCGTTTCATTGGACAACGAGGAAGCAGCAGCAGCATTCGGATAATTGTACTATTTTCCAAAGTACCCACCCAGAAATTACCCTACTACACAGGAAGAAGAACCTACGAACCATGCCGATCATCCGTGAAACCCTGGTTGTTCCACTACCATCAAAAAATCAGCCCCACTGGAAGTTGGGTCGCATCACAACCGTTGCAGGAAGTTCTAGATACCGACGTCCAATCAGCAATTCTAGACAATCGTTGTTAATCGTTGAGTTACCTCAACCGGGGGAGTATGTTCCGTCTCCGCCGAAAGTCAACTGATACGAACACAACCAACAAGCAGCGAAGAACGAGACCATCAATAGGCTACAACATCCACCAATCAGCGACGACCACATCAACGCTCGCCGCTTTAAAAGAGGCATGCATCACCGTGCAAACAAGAGTTCTTTTCCGACCAAGCACCAGCAAACATCAGCAGCAGTAGAAGCAGAATTTGTAAAGAGAAAGAGGAGAGAATAAACAGTTGTTAGCGTAGCCGTCCCTTTCAAGTTTATTTTGCACACATCCCTGGTTTGGAGCAGCGTCGAACCCACCAGCTCTTTTCAGAGCCCTTACGAGTTGATTTCCGATCGACGCTTGCTTCCTCCACCACCCTGCCGATACAGTCCACTACCGAAAGGGAAAGTTCCCTCCCAGTCCGAACATTGACATTACTCCAAATGCCACTATCCCGAGCGACAACAACCTAGAATGGTACACTAGCCACCCCTGCAATTATTACCCAGAATCCATTTTGAAAAATTGTTGATTAGGAGTTAGGTATGATACAATATATATTCAACAGTGGTGGGCTCATTTTCGTTAAATCGTTAATCAACGGCTTCAATTTTATGAGTTGGGAGGAAAATGCTATACTAATATCAACAACGAGAGGGGAAATACAAGTAACACGTCAAAAACTCGACGATTTTCGGATTTTTTTTTTGTGAGCGAATGAAACAACGCAAACGTTTTTAGCATTAAATTGCTTAAATCTTCCTCTACATTTGAGATTTTTTTCATTGGTGTGTGACTTCTGTGGCTCCTTGCGGTCACATCGGAAGGAGGTCGTCTCCGGTGGGGATTGGTAATTGGCGGACGTTCGAGAGACCTGAAAAATGGACAAAACTTACTTTTATCAATTAGACCTTATTCAGAAAAGATTTTTGTTCTATGTGAACATCTAAAACCCAAAAAAAAAAAACAATTTAAAAATTTAGAAAAAAATATTTGAAATTTCACTGTTTTTTTTCCACTTTAGGCAGACCTGAAAATTATTTATTGATGATGATCAGTATCAAGGTATAGTTATTGACTCGAAGATCATGCCACTCAATTATTGATCCATGTGTAACCAAACCGAGCTAAACCGATGGTATTGTTCCACCTGATTCAACATGGGTTGCATCGGATCCCAAAACAAAATTATTGCATGTTATTTCTAAGAATACCGGTTCAATTATATCCAGTAGAATCTGTTCCCTATAGTGAATTGGTGCTGGTTCTGAAGCAATACTTTTTGTTTTTATTCATATGAAAGTTATATTTTGAAAATATTCAAAGGGAATAATTATACTGAAAATATTTGAATTGGTTGAATGGGCATTGAGACCAAGCATATTTTTTGGAGTCTGGTACATTCAGTATAAAGACGTTTGGCATAACGGAAACTTAGCAGGTTAGAAAAGTTAATTTACAACCAAAGATTACTCCTATTCTTTGACTCGTAAACATATTTCGTGCTTCGAATATTTAATAAAGAAGCAAGTATTCCCTTCTTTGATAAGGAAGATAATGTTCTTTTCTTAGAATATTTTTAACAAAGAAGGAAACTCCCTTCTTTGAATATTCATGCATTGTGCGATTCCTGAAATACCATAGAAGTACAGTTTGGTTTTTGAGGAAGAACGAGCAGCAATTAAATGAAGGATTTTTTTTTTTACTTTATTTTTGAGATTTTTAGCCGTAGGCTAGTTTATCTCGTGAATGAAAATGAAGGAATAGTCATACTCTTGGTTTTAAAAATATGTCGAATCACAGCGAGATTATGCCAATGTTCGTTATGCCAAGCGCCCATTATACCAAACGCACCAGACCCTAATTTTTTGTCGGCGAGTATCACTATATTTTTGCAAACCAAACATAATTCTAGATAAAGCACAGCAGATTACAAGCTAAAATATTAGAATTAAGTAATTCAGGCCGAAGTTATGCGCATGAAAGCAAATTTGATACTTTTTGATGAGAAAAACTCACATCCTGAAAATGTTCACGAACTAGGTCTGTAGATATGAATTTTGTCATGATATCAGTGGTTCACATAGAGTAAAAATCTATTTCCTTTTAGGGGTCGTGAATTAATTATGTCACACATTAAGGGGGGAGGGGGGTTTTGAAAACTGTGACGAGCCATACAAAAAAAAAATTAAGGTTCACACAAAAAATGTGACAAAGGGGGGAGAGGGGGTTGAAAATGGGCCAAATTTGCGTGACATAATTAATGGACCATCCCTAAGATGCGCCAGGTTTCAAGTCATTTGGATGAGAACTTTTTCAGTTATCTTTCCCGCCAATTTGGAAAACACCGTTTCGAGAAAAACGCGTTTAAAGTTTTGGGTTGTGTAAAAAAATGATTTCTGGAACTTACGGTTAATCGGCGATACCGGGGCCATAGATCACTCCTTCCTCGTGCTCGTAGCATTTTTTAATATTTTTTAAAGTAAAATATAAAAAATCGATAAAAAAAAATTTTACTTGTATTTCCTCCCTTAAGGGGAAGCTCACCGCTCCGAAAAAAATAATTACGTTTTGATTTTTCTAAAAATATTGGAAAAAGATATCAAAATTCTAAGAAAATCACATATTTTTTAATTTTTCAAAGAAAATTCACGTGCAAAAACATTTTTTATAAGTCATTATGTCATAAAGTTGGACTCAAAAAACCACAAAACATCAACTTTTCGGTTTTTCTGAGAGTCCAATTTTTTTTCATGATGGGATAGAAAAAATTTTTTTGCATGTAATTTTTGACAAAAATCTAAGAAAGAAACTGATTTTCTTGAATTTTTGATAATTTTTCCCAATATTTTTAGAAAAATAAAAACGTACCGAAAATATTTTTTTATTTTTGGGCCGGTGAGCTTCCCCTTAAGTGCGATAATTTATTAGCTAGAGAAAGTTCTGAAGAGGATAGATCGATAAGTTCTGTTAGAGTACGGCGTCCGCTCCTCTGACTAAAAAACTTATGTAGGACAGTGAATCTGAGTTCCTACGCACTAAATGAGCATTTTTCTAAGGTTTATGGAGCATTTTATTGTTTTAATATTACAAAAACCATTTTCCATTTCGATCTGATTTCCGTCCTGCTAAGCACAACACGTGCTTTGTCTCACTTTTTTTTAAAGGATTTGTGCAAAAAAATTAAATGTTTGTACCAAGGTTGAATTCTGGATCATAACTTCGAATGTGTATCATTCATTTTGTTAAAAAGTTACAAATTGTTGGTAAGCCAAGCTATCGTTTGGTGGGGTTTTGAGCAATAGCAAGAAGACACTCCCCCTTATTCTGCGAGTCACGTGACTCTCTGTCGCCGGTGAGGTGACAATTGTCACCTCGTGTGAGGTGACTCTCCATGTAAATCAAATGGAGAGTCACCTCACACGAGGTGACTATTGTCACCTCACCGGTGAGAGAGAGTCACGTGACTCGCAGAATAAGGGGGACTTATTTTCCGATCGAGCGCAGCAGCAGAAGCAGAATTTGTAGAGATAAAGAGAAGAAAATAAATAGTAGTTCTAGTGTAGGATTCTATAACATTCCCCAGAAAAGTATGCCATTGTTTAGAGTGACTATTTTTGTTTATTATAGTCACACCTAGAATCTTCTTTGGCGTATATAAAAAGAAGAGAAAAAACTTTCTTACTGGATCAAGGAAATTTCCCTTCTTTTAAAATATAAGACAATGAAATAATTAATTCTCTGGATAAACGATAAAGAAGGGAATATTCCCTTATTTTAATATGTAAGGAAAATATATAATCAATAGTTTTTCGCAAGGGATTCGGGATAATGCCCATTCGGGATAATAACGTGTGGAATAATGTTATAAATTTGTAATCGGTAGTTCAACGTTCATGCACCGATTTTTTAATCCATCACGAGAAATTCTTCAACTCAGATCGATCAATTCTTCGATAAGGTTAAACAGTTTCCGACTGGTTGAATTGGATTGCATAATATACCCTTTGACTTTTTAAATGATGTACGAAGTGCTTGAAAACTTGAAGGTTGTTGAAGGTTTCTAAAGAGCTAAAAAATGGTTTGGAATTGATAAATATAAGATCCATAAAAGGAAACGGAGTGTATCATCAATAGTAAGGAGTGATTCCAGGACTGACTATAATAAACAAAAATAGTCAATCTAATACATGTCATACTTTTCTGGGGAATGGTTCATTCTGGGCAATGCTTTTCTGGGGAATGTTATAGAATCGTGAATGTATCGTGTGGTAATAATTAGTCATCGGCTGTCATCATTTATGAAAAGACTTTTTTATGTAAAATATCATTATTCATTTTTGCGTTCAGAATCACAAATGCTTAACTCCTGTCGCCTGTCAAATAATATATGAATTTCTTTCACTTACGGCACTAGATTCTGAACATTATATTTTATTGCTACATAAATTTTCAAATTGTACCTATACCTAATAAAACTGTAACTCTACTGTGGCCCGAGTATATCTTGTCGTTACGTCTCTAAAAGTTTGGATGGTTCACTTGTTTGCTGCAGATAACAATTTGGAGAACATGTTTTAGCGCAATCTTCAACAGACTTCAAAAATACAACATGCGAAAGTTTAATGGTTTAGTAAATTTTATAAAACTAGGACGGATGGTGTTATTCGAGTTTGTACATATTAATCCTACGGACGGAATATCGATTAATACTTAACAATTACTACATCGTAAACTATCTACACGATTATTTTGAAAACTAATACTAGTGCTAGTAAAACCACATTCAATGCGTTGAACTTTAAAGAACTCGCACCTGCATGGCAATCGGTGATACGGCGAGCCCGCAAGAAGTCTGCACCAAGATAGGCATCAAACCAACGTTTATCACCGGGTATAAGACGCAGCTCTCTCGTGGAATCCGAAAAGATCAGATCATGATATGGGGGATTTGAGTAGAACAAGCTGAAGCTGAAAATATAAAGCAAGAACATTAGATGTTGAGTGGATATGGCTATTAGGGTGTCAATGAAAATGTTCATCTTGAATTTCCAAAACCGACCAGATACAAAATGTTTATTACCTCGAAACAAGACCCTGTGCAAAATGCGGGCTCAATCGGACATGATTTAGGGGTGGCGCCAAATCATCAATTTGAGTTTTTTAATACCGAAAAATCACCTTATAAATGTACAAATATTGTTGGTTGCAGTACGTAAATATTGCTTATCCTAGCATTAAATGAATAATACAAAACATGTACGTTTTTTGCTTTTTTTTTACCACCCTATGGAAGTATTTCAAAACATACTCTAGTGATGGATGTACATAACGTATCAATGATACTTCTACTTACTTATGTATCCTACACCCTAGTGGTGCATAGGGGCAATGTTGCTCTTATGGAGTGTCAATATTTCATTTCCTGTAGTATTATTAGATACTATCAGGAGGAAACTTATGATTTTTCCGTATATTTTGAAGTATTAAATATCAAAAGGAGCGCCCTAATGAAAATTAAGGGATCCGCCCTAGAGAAATATCGCGAACCAAATGCTAGTGATGGTTTCAAATTATATATTAATGTAAGAACAGCATGTGATCTAAAAAAGGGTAACGACGGATTTTTTTGAAGTTTCGCTTTCGTTTCATTTTCAAGTACTGAGTCATACCAACCGGTCAGAACTCGGGTTTTTTCAGTTACCATGGGGACGTAATTTGTGATTAGACCCGGACTCTTTCACATTGGCTCATTATTTATGAACGGCCCTTATATTTGAATTGACTTTCCTCATTAATCTAGGGATGGCTGATTTTCATTCATTAACGAACCGAAAAGTAAAATATTTGAAATTGGTTTTATCATGTCGATATAAGCATTAACTTCTCCAGAGGATCATCACCCACCGTTTTACTCTCATTGGTAGAAAAAGAAATCACATCGAACAAAGACTAATCGATTAGTTGTTAATCGAGTAATTAAAAAATAGGACATCACTAATTTTGGTGTGCTTGTTTTGATTAGAAATACTCAGAAGGAGAGATAAGCGGAAGGAATGTTTTGAGCCAAATGAACTGTCAAAATCTGAGCCTAGATTAATTTAGAGAGTATTGCAATCGAACAGAAATTCAATCACCTTTATGTTTAGTGTGCTTCTCAAATACAACTAGTTTTTTGAAGAAAAAAACAATACTCTAACTCTATTGATTAATTGATCTTAGTTGGCACAAAGAAATGTGGACAATATTGCCATGCACTCAATTACTATTTTGCACGTAAATCGAATCAAAAGTAAAAGTCATGTGAAATGCTAGCTTCTAGCAAGGATTGCAAGATTATTTAGGTACAAATCCCTGCTGCCGAATTGTATTTTGTTTTCTCCGCCCATCTCTCCCTCTGAGTATTTCTAGTTTTGATAAAAAATGCGCACAATTTCAACTCTACCGAGAGGAAGCATAACCAAAACAAGCTCCTCAAAAACAAAACAATTAGGGGAAACGCTCCTATAGTAGCGGTACGTTAGAAGCGTTAGGTTCCTATAGTTGTGCATGGAGACTCAATACACAACTATAGGAACCTAACGCTTCTAACGTACCGCAACTATAGGAGCGTTTACCTAGTTGAATTGAAACAAAGCAAACCTGTTACCAACTAGGTTTTACACCGTCGGGGTTAACCTCAATCTGATGACAGTTCAGTGGTACTGTTTACGTTAACTTAGTCGATTTTTTCTTGGGTAGATTTTCTCGATAATTTTTCAGACTGCAATGAGATGTAAACCACACTTCTGCAATGTCCTCGAGCAACATCGTTTCACCGCGCAATTTCCGCAACAATTTTCAAGTTAAAATTCAAAAATAAAAAAAAATAAATTCGAAAAAACGATTAAGTGCTTGTAAACAGTACCACTGAACTGTCAAAAAGGTTTTGCCGATTATCACTGAGTTCTGGGTCACCCTTCACCATCCCTCTCCAAAGGGAGAGTTTGGTAAAGAGAGATGATAAAACCGATTTGTACCTTCCTAAAGTTGTCCTAGCTTGCTGTCTATTCTCTATATGCAATTTTCACACTGCCGTACACTAAAAGGAACTATCAATTTTATACTTTCATCTCCTCATCTATCGTATAAAAATTACCACTTTAGTCTTTTATGTTATGACCATGCTTGAATGATTTTTTTACTATAAAGGTTAACATCATTGGGGCTTCATCAGGCTGATGTAAAACAACAATAAAACAATCATGGTGATAAACAATAAACTACACAATTGGGTTCTTTAAGGGTATTGAGGTAAATGCATATTCGTGATCTGCATTAAAAATGGAACCCAAACCCAAAATTTCATCAATTTTGGTACACTGGAACTATTTTACATTTGCAAAAAATCACCGTATTAGCGCCCCTCGGTGTCACTTTGTATGGGAGCGAGCTGTCAGTTTGTTAGTTTAGTGTCAAACAGCGAAGTTATTATTTTGCTTTAAATCTTGATTCAAAAATCGAGATAAAAGTGTGTGGGTTCGAAAAAAATATCGCTGTGCTCCGAAAATGAAGCTCTTTCAGATGTTGTCTAAAAACTATACATTTTTCAAAATTAAAGAACCCAATTATTTAATTTTGGCTAGTAGTTAAATTCCAACGAACGTTTGGTCCACTGCATCACAACTGGCATCACAAGTATGCATCTTTCAAAATGTAAAAATACAGGCAAGCCCTGGGACCTTGGTTGCAGTTAAGCAATCCTCAAAGTTATGCCAATGCCCAGGGTACAGCAAAATCAAAACAAAATTTGTTATCAAAATTGCCAATCGTACGCAAACTGAAATCAAATTAAGAAAATTTTATTCCTACTGCGTGGGGTGAAAAGTAACCTCATTGGGAATGATTTTTTTTAAATGTTTTTTTTTATTCAATATAGTCCCTTTTAGCTCGATACACTTATTCTAGCGATTCTCAAACTTCATGATCCCGTCCGAAAAGGTCTGCAAAATACTTCTCCACTGATTTTTTTTTATTGATGAGCCATCGTTTGAAATTAGGGAAGAGATAATAGCAATCGGTGGAAACTAACGATTTTAAATTGGCTCACTACTTGACTAGCCTATTGGTTCCAAGCAAATCGATTAACGTACCCCATTCTAGTCGAAATTCTAGTACTACACTATGTTTGTTTTGATTCGCTTTGAAAGTTTGCTAGATAAAATGAGGGGTTCGTAGATTTTCCCGAGGGGGGCGACACATCTAAATCCCAATTCTAGATGCTCAAAAAATCTCACACTAGCGAATCAATCTTCGAAAAATCATCTTTCATTTCTCGCATCTGCTTTCATCGCGCTTCATCTTATTGCAGGAAATCTTCAAAATCGACACACATCTTCCTTCTATCTAGCGTGCGTGCAGCTAGCCACAGCCAAAAACAATCTTTTCTGCATCGTAGATAGAGTCGTCCCCCCCGGATTTTCCTATGTTTCGAGGAGTGCATCGAGTAGCTTGGGACCGAAGAGAGCTGAGCCAAAAAGACTTCGGGACCTTCTAGTCTTAGAGTTACCTCTATGATAATAGTCTGAGGGAGCCAAACCAGGCGAATACGGTGGATGCGGAAGCAATTGGAGCCGTAAGTAATTGATTTTAGCCATGATTGCGATGCTCTTGTGCGCCGGCGCATTGTCTTGCAAAAACAATTTTTTTTTTCGCTTCATGTGAGGCCGTTTTGCAGCGATTTCGGCCTTCAATCGCTCCAATAATGCAAAGTTATACTCGCTATTGATGGTTTTTCCTCTTTCGAGGTAGTCCACGAAGAGTATGCCATGACAATCCCAGAAAACCGACGCATCGACCCATCGAGCCTCCCTCGGCCGCTTCGGAGCACTCTTGCCGGCTTCAGTCCATTGCCGGGCACTCATTCTGTTCTCTGGGGTGTAGTAGTGGATCCAGGTTTCATCAACAGTTACCATCGACGCCAAAAGTCCGTCCGATTCCGCATCAGCAAGTCCAAACACTCTTTCGAAATGCTCTCGCGTTCGTGTTTTTTGACAGGAGTGAGAATCTCGCCCAAAATATGGCGTGTGCGCTCAGTACTAATCTTTGCGGTATCTGCTAACTCGCGCACTTTCACCATAGAGGTAACTCTAAGACCACTGGGTCCCGAAGAAAATCATTATTATTTTTGGCTCACTCAGTACCAGAACAACGGTCCCAAGCAGTCCCAAGCTATTTCACTCACCCCTGCATGTTCTGCATGAATCCACACACCCCTGATGTTATCTGTCAAACTTTCATAGCGAATCAAAACAAACATAGTGTAGTAATAGAATTTCAACTAGAATAGGGTACGTTAATCGTTTGCTTGGGACCAATAGGCTACTAAAGTGGTGAGCCAATTTAAAATCGTTAGTTTCGTATTGATTGTTGCTTTCACTTTTCGGTCAGCCAACACCATTTTTCATGTATTTTTTTTTTTACATTGTCCTCTGTAACCGCAGGGCCTCCCGCTGCGAACTTGATCGGTAGTGGAGTTGCGGCCACCACGAAACTCTCAAAACCAATATTTGACGGTGTAATCTGACGGAGCATTAGCCCCATAATATTTATCCAATTTTCCTTTTGTTTCCTTCGCCGTTTTGCCTCTCAAAAGATAATGTTTTATGAGAGAACGAAAATCCTTTTTATCCATACTCAACATGATGCCACACACGTCAACAACAATCAGCTGTCAAAACAAAACTAAAGACAGTATCGTATTGAAATTTGACATGCCTTCCTATATATATATATATAAATATGAACGGACTACGGCACGCAGTTTACACATTTTATGAGTAGGCCCCTTTTTTCACGAAATGTGTGAAATTTTACACAATAATGTGATTACGCTGGTTACCATGTAGCAGCGCATTCTGGAGGTTCCTTTTCACTCCACCTAGTATTTGCTATCATTTTGATGTTGGACTTTGCTCGGGTTGTAAGTTACAAGAATATGTTGTGAAGCAGTGCTGCAAAATTTCGACAATACACGGTGATACTCAAAATTCTGCTTTGGTCACTCGTTTGAGCTAACAGTCATCGTCAAGGCAAACCATGTCAATTGTCAGTAGCATTTTTGTCAGTGACGAACATGTGCTGATTTGTTTATTAGTTAAATTTGAAATTAAATTAAATGGCAAGAGCAAAACAATTATATGGAGCCATTAAAGTGAATAAGCATCTACGTCCTGAACTGCTTGGATAACAATTATGTGACTCAGAATGCAAGAAATTACACTTTCTGTTACCAGGTGAATCTTTGTCATTGACGAAAAAATGAATGAGATTTTGACAAAGATTTTTTTGAGGATCAAGTCTATCATTGACAATGTGAAAAACAATTTTGTCAATATCGCGCAAAAGTCTGTCAATGACAATGACAAATCTCAGCACTGTTGTGAAGTACATACCGTGCCGATTCAAATTTCGGACACTTTTAAAAGTTGATTATCTCGGTCGAATATGATCCACATGTCTTGTAAATTTTAAATTTTTTTGACTAGTGCCCTCCACGATCATCTAACATTATTACTTTGTTTCTAACTGGATGTAATATTTAATTAAAAATGAAAGTGTCCGAAATTTGAATCGTCCGAAATTTGAATCGGAACGGTATGTCCCGAGGAAAGTCCAGCATGAAAATGTCAATCGAAAATTTGATAACAAATTATGTTTTCATTACGTTTTATTAAAAAATCTATCGACTTCGAAGGGAATTTCCGTTGATGCATTTGTGGTATCACATGTCACGTAAAATTGACAGGAAAGGTAAAAGAGTGACTCTATGTGAATTTTCACGTAACTATAACGTGTGAATTATTTTGAGTGACCAGTGCTGAGATTTCAAGCTGAACATTGCATTAGGTCTTAAGTAACATTCGATTCTCTTCGTCGACTTTCGCTTTCGTTAATAACTTGAGCACATAACCGTTTCTTATTGTGTTTGTAGTATTAGATGCTTGATAAAAGCTTCTTTTAGTGACCTGTGTGCTGAAAATACCTGGGAATGTCTTTACATGGCCGTGGGAATACAAAGAGAAAGTCGACGAAGAGAATCTGTCAATTTTCCTTACGACCTAATGAAATGTTCAGCTTGATTTGTCATTGTCATTGACAGACTTTCGCGCGATATTGACAAAAATTTTCTTCACATAGTCACTGAGACTTGATCCTTAAAAAAATCTTCGTCAAAATCTCATTTATTTTTTCCTCAATGACAAAGATTCACCTGGTAACAAAAAGTGTAATTTCGTGCAGTCTATGTCACATTATTGTTATCCAAGCAGTTCAGAACCTAGATGCTTGTTAGCATTAACGGCTCCATGTAATTGTGTGGTTCAAGTCACTTAATTTCGTTACAAATGACAGCATTGTCATTGACAATTGACATTGTTTGCCTTGACTTGCTCAAATGAGTTTTACTCTAGACTATAAGAATTCACTCAATAGGTTTACAAGACGTTATTTAAGAATGCATACTAATCCAGTCAGAAAAGTTTAATAATTCAGCTCATTCGCCACCATGTTCTTAAAAATATAGCAGTTTGAAAAAAGTTTCTCAAATGCTCATGCTGCCGACAGACCAATCAAAGTACAGATTAACCTTGAATATTGTTTCAACCAATAGTCAACATTACAGGAATTTTGATACACGCTCAGAAAAAAATACACCTCTTTGAAATTTTTTGACGAAGATCCGAAATTTTAACCAATTTTTTCATACAAATTTTTTGGGTTATTTTATTAAAAAATAAATTGTTTTTGATTATTGCACCACGTGAACGGTATCTTTTTTTTTTCCTTGATTTGTTTTCCGTCGATCTTGTCATCCATGCTGAGCACCAATGCTATCGAAGCCAGGGAGGCAACTCCCACACCTGGATCCAAGTCCCCGGCAACGTGACAGATAACATTTGTTTCACGTACCCACTTGCAAATAGTAGATGTCGCCACACAACGTAAACAAAGGGACTGCCCTTCACCGCCGCAACGGTATTTCTCTATGGGAAACCAAATGTTTGCTTCACCATGTATGGATGTCAAACAACAAGCAAGAATGACGTATGAAAAGAGCGAATTTATGATTTTCGTGGTGAAATGAAATAAATCCAAACTAATCGAAACAGATTGATGGAGGTCTTCCTTATATGATCAAATGGAAATAAATATACTATGGTCACTTCTATATTTTGCTCTTGAATATTATCAGCCTTGAGAATAATGTTCCTGAGCATAGCTGTGCGATGAAGACAAAAGCCGTATCAATAAAATGAATTTACTTCCCCATATTTATATTGCGGGGTGAAAAAAAAAAATAAAAAATTGATCCTTATTCGCGGTGAGTAACAAGTTTGCTGTGTGAAAACTAACATTTCGTATATCCATGCACTAACATAGTGTAGTACTTGAAATTCGACTAGAATGGGGTACGCTTATAGATGTACTTGGAACCGATAGGCTAGTCAAGTAGTGAGCCAATTTTAAATCGTTAGTTTCATACGGTTGATTGTACTAACGTTGTACTCTTTTAAGCTATTAACTCAAATTGTATATTATGCAGTACTAGCTGCATTTAATTAGTACGCTCTTTCTCGCTGCAAAACCATTCTTTATTTGTTCATCATCGACGACAATAGCAATAGCGTCGAAAACATCGAAAGTATCCACGCTCAATTCTCATTTGTTTCGATTCATTCGATGGCAATCACTTATTTTCGTTTTACAAATCATATGTTTAAGCTTTTGGTTTTGTTCTGCTCAAAGACATACGCGGCTTCACAAAAAAAGATTCATTAACTGATTATGTACATGCAATAAGATTATCTCTAAAATTACTTTTTATTTACTGTACGTCATTTCCGCATTCGCCCTATTCAGATAACACTTCTGAAATTTGTAAGTTTGACAGAACCACCAGCACCAAATTTTCGGGGTACACTGGAAATGTACTGGACTTGTCAAGTTGCCCCCGGGTGGCCTGGATCCTACCTATCAACCCATCAACTCATGAACCGGGGACCAACGGCTTTACTTCCCTTCCGAAGGAAGGCGTGATTAGAGATGTTATACCTTAGCCCGGCGGCTCTGACTGGGATTGCACCCAGGCCTGCTGGGGTGAGAGGCAATCACGCTTACCACTACACTACCGGCACCGCTAGTATCCTTTATTGCAGTACGAGCTTATTGCATGCTTGGTCCGCTCGGCCTTATAAAGGGTTAATGATAGAAAATAAAATTTGTTTATTACAATCATGCTTCCGGATAACGGTCATTGGAATCTTTACCGACTTTTATAACAATTCAAAAACCCGGAAAAAATACTGGTTCCTGTAAAATATCTAAGTTGTAGCCCCTGAATTCGACCTATTAAATAAATAAATCATTTATAAGCAATTAATCACAGTTTTTATTAAATTGTTCACTGAATATTGTGATCCGCAAACGAATCACTTGTTCTTGAGACAAATTCATTCAGTACATTTCCTGCTCAGCAGGAACAGTGTGCAGCAGGTGGTAATAAGAAGGAATAATACTCATTGGCTGAATACTTCCCATAAAAGCTTATCCCATAATTAAACCGACATTGCAAACAGAGTCAAGAGCTCTAAAAAACACCCAAAAAGACGAGAAACACAAAAGGCTTGTTCAGTCTTACAAATCAGCAGAAGCTATCTGACTGATGAAGCTTTCGTATTAATAAGTAAATAAGTTAATTAATAGGGTAGATTAGAAAAAAATCTACATGGTAATGTTTAGATAAGAAAATTATGAAATTATCTTTCAATCCTATATTTTCGTCAATTTTAGAATAATTGATAAAAGAAGTGTTATCCAATCTATAACTTGCCAAGTAATACAAGTATGTAATTTGGGTAATTTGCGTTTTATAGCCTCTCAACTGAATCAGGAATGCTGAGCGAATGCGTCGATAGAAAATTGTAGAACGTAAGTGGCTGCCAATAATAATGATAACTTACCTAAATTCATCAGCATCCCTTCGGCCGTAAAATTGCTGAGCGTAGGTTAAAAGATTGATGAAGGCATTCAGTTGAGTAGCGTTATAGTTGTGACCACCTCTGGTCACGATAGCGTTTGCTTTTACTTTTCCCAAATTACACTTTCTATACTCGTTCACCTCTGCACGGGTACCGTCAGGGCAGAGCAGCTCAAAGTCATCTGGAAGCGTATTTCTGGCCCACCACTCGCGTTTCTTTCCTCCGGTGTTTTCAACGACAGTTGTATGCCGCACAAACGCTACGTGGCCTCCTCCTTCCACCAGACAACGGAAGGCACCGGTATTACCGTAATAATCTTCGGAAGCATCTCGTCGACAGTAACGGAAACTACTTCCATGACACAAGTCACACAAGTTATCATAAGGCACTCCTGTATTGTATTCATTACTTATTGCTCCCGGAACGCATGATTTGGTGAAATACTCGGCTGCTGCACGAATACTGTCACAGCCGTATGGACGAATCCATCCGTTCGAAATCAGGTATGCCATTGGGTATATCCACCCGGCGGCAGTATTGATTCCCGAGTGACATGTGTACTTGTTCTTCAAGTACGTCAGTTCAGTATCGGGATCTTCTTCCTTTGCAACGGCTACGACGTAGTATTCGGGTTGCCCGAGATCGTACACTTCAGACATGAAGGGGAGCAAATCATACTTTAGACCACCGGTATAGACATCACTGGCATCCAGGACGACTACATCGGCTTGCCCTGAGTTTACATGACGCATGCAGTCTATATGAGAATGAGCCTTAAAGCACAACATTTCCGGTTTTATGAGCTGTGCTTTCAACGCAGTCTGGAATCGAAGATACTGTTTATTGCCACTGCTATGATTCAAATGTAAAAAAAAATACTTACTCTCATCTTTATACATTTTTCCATCTCTGGTTCAGAAGTTACACACAAAGTCATTCGACTGACGGGACACGATCGGACACCGTAGATGTAATCTAGACCAGTTCCTAAATAATATTGGAAATTTTGATTGTTTTCCTCGATAGGCGCAAGATAGCGAGCCGTATCTTGGAACATAAGATTAAGCTGTTTGCCATATCGTCTAGACTCGAACAAGTTAAATTTTTCGTAAAATTGTGTTTCATTTTGATCACTAAAGTTGCGATCATCGTTGTAAACACCATAACTGTAACGTTCTGTTGTGGTTGTTGTGAAGCGATTGAAGCGATCATCGGAACGTCCGCTATCATATCGGTTGTTGGAGTTGAAACGATCATTTTGATTGCGCTGGCGATCATCCGCTGAGTTCAGAGTGCTATTCGAACGTTTCGACTTCGTTGAATACAAATTAACTGCTTGAGTGAAAAATTTCTTGTATCGACGTCGTTCTGCAGTTGTTCTTGCAGAAGACACAACTAAAGCATGGGATTGAGCCATTCCCCAATGACATTGCCTATATTCGGATACCGGTTGCCTCGTTCCATCCTTACAGAGCAGCTCAAATTGGTCGGCGGTGACACCATGAATTAAATCACTTTCTACCATCTCATTTACGGTGGTATGTTTTAGGAAAGCAATATCTCCCGCTTCCAGCAAGCAACGGAAAGCTCCCTCAAAGCCTGCGTAAGGGTCAGATGGTGTACACTTTCCGCCCGGAACCTTTCCTGTACAAAGCGAACACAATCTAAAAAGAGGATCGTTAATTTTACGCTTTGAGTTTGCATACACATTACCTTACTTGTCCGAATTGTCTCCAATTGGATTGTACTTGTCTACTAAAGCGTTAACAGCGCAAGACGGGCCAAAATAGTCAGTAGCCGTTTTAACATGATTGTTACAATCTGTTATGTCCATACCCCCCTCACGTTGCAACTAGAATAGACCATTTTTGCTGAAAAATATCTTTAGTGAAAGCAATCTTATGAACTTACCGTATAAATGGGAACAATCCAGCCTGCGTAACTTCCAACCCAGGCGAAGCAAGCTTTCTTTCCCTTTAGGTGTCTCAAGTTAGTAACATCTCTCAGACTGTCTTTTTTAATAACTGCGACTGCATGATATTGCGTAAATCCTCCGTCATACCCTTCTTGCATAATGGGAACCAGCGAATGGTGTCGACCGGCAGTATAGACTTCTCCGGCATCTAGCATCATTGCATGTGCTTTGCCCTCATCTATAAGTCGCATACATTCGTCCTGGTCAAAACCAAAGTAACAAGATACATTTAGGAAGTAATTGTCAAACAGTGCCTGGTCTCGCTCTAGTGCAACTGTGAAGTTACGACACTTGTACATCTCTACCTCACTTGAGGCGCACCATACCATCTCCGTTCCTAGCTCCACATTATCAAAATTGTGCTGACCTGAAAGAAATATGTAATGATACATTTGATCAGCGTAATGCTAATGGCTCAATGAAAATGCTGAGGTTTTGACAGAACTATGCTGTGGCTACCACAGTATTTTACATGTGATCGTCCATATACAGTAGCGCTAAAAGCATGCTGTGGTGGGTTCAAAACTTGACCATCTAAAAATTTAAACCATTTAATGATCAATTGCAAACCACCTGAAGGGCGAGATGGACCAGTCATGGTCTTAACCTGTCTGCAAAGACAAATCCAAAGAAGAAAAAAGCTATGCACCTGAGGTGAATCATCATTTTGTTTATAAACAATGATGTATATACGTATAAGCTTGTAGTGGTAACATTGAATGTACTTTTCACTACACCTTAGCACATAAAACCGTCTGACGCCCAACTGAGTATGTGATTCAAACAGGTGTCATTAACAAAAATAATTTAATCACTTCCAAAAATTATAATAACATAATTTTTCCTCATCATACCAAAAGTAAACAATAATTAGCTAAATAATAGAGAATAATGCTACTAACTATAATGGTACCTATAGAGCCTTCAGCTATCCGTTTGGGAAACCGACACTTATCTATGCCAACCAGAAAATTACGAAAAATAGGGACTTACCGTAGATAAAACCGGCAAACGCTAACAGAAACGCGTAGCAAATAAGAGGCTGCATCATTGAAGGATGAATTTGCCAAATGTTCGGAAGAAATGCAGCAAATATATCGAATTTTTATTTTCGAAAACCAAACATTCTGCCAGGCACACGCCCAGTCCGCTGTCGAATCGAAAAATGGAGGATGACATTTTGACGTAAACACATATTTGAAATTATTATTTATAGCATTACTTTGATTATGGCACACCACAGGGATGCAGCGTAATATGCACGCTATTTCAAATCTCCCAAATTTGGGTAGAGTCCACCCAGATCGGTCAAAACTAAACCTACACTGAAACAAAAACCATAGTTAGGAATACTATTTTGCAGAAAACACTTATTTTCAGTATAACTATACGCTTAATGCCGTTAAATCTACCATGATTTAAGTATAGTTGACTAAAAATATAATCAAATTTACTACCATTCTGTCAAAACTACTATGCTTACTCAAACGGCATAGTAGTTTTGATAGAAAAAATAGTAAAATTAAAGAATTTCGTTTCTGCACAAATCTATTGGTGTGAGTATTTAATTTAAACCATCAATATAGTATTTTTGCCAATGGATTTTGTTTCTGTGTACGCTAATAAATAAATACCATAAACGAACTGTATGGGTAAACCAGGCCAGTGACAAGGCCTATACCAACAGCAGCGTTTGACGCAGCATGTCCCGGACTCAAATCATTTATTTTGCTGTGCTGGGCCCGCTGTCACCGTATAACATGTTGCCTACGTGTCTGCCACTGGGCTGGGGTAAACTATCCCACAAATGGTTTGAATGATACCCCGAACACGTCGTTAAGCTCTCTTTTATGGTTATTTATTGAGTGGCAAATAGCAAATATATCATATTAACAATATGATCCATTCATGCCGTTTCCAAATGTTGCAATGGCGACCCGCAAAATATTGCTTCACGCACCATATAGCGTTGAAAAAGGTCAGCAACAATCATTGAATTACAATCGAGGGGTGCCAATATAGCACTTATTACAAAAGTAAGAGTCAAATTATTTTCAATAATTACATTGTGTATATTGCTTTAAAATTTATCTGAAATTTCACGGTTGTCATCAAATAAAATTAAATGCTGAAATATATTCATGTGAAATATTAAACAAATTTTCATTTGGTTTACCCCTCGTGACGATAAACAAATACATTGGTAGCCTTTTTGGCCACAGAGGTGCTTTCATCCCTAAAAATTCGGTTCGCCACCCGCATAAACGCGAACCATATCTTGACCTTACCGAAAATGGTTAAAAATTGTTTATAATCCTTCCTAAACTTTAACTTAAATGGTTATGGAACTTTACATGAACGTTTGTGTGATAAAGTTTTAACCTTATGTATTATGGTTTTTTGGAAGTGAACCTTACAAATAATGGGTTGTTAAGAACCATTACCATTCAAAATTCTTGTTTTCTCCATACATTTTCGGAAAGAAAACTATATTAGAACCTTTTTACTTATGGTTTGAGAATTTTAATGGTAATGGTTATGGTAGTCAGTAAGGTCCATGGATGGTTTTGTATTGTCGGTCAATTTTACGTGGAATATATCACGAATTGGTAATCATTAATTTACAGGCAACCTATTCGCGATATATTCCACATAAAGTTGATCGATGTTACAAAACCATCCATGGACCTTACTGAATACCATAACCATTACCATTAAAGTTCTCAAATCATAATTAAAAAGGTTCTAATATAGTTCTCTTTCCGAAAATGTATGGAGAAAACTAAAATTTTAAATGGTAATGGTTCTTAACAACCCATTGTTTGTAAGGTTCACTTCCAAAAAACCATAATACATAAGGTTAAAACTTTATCACACAAACGTTCATGTAAAGTTCCATAACCATTTCAGTTAAAGTTTAGCAAGGATTATAAACAATTTTTAACCATTTTCGGTAAGGTCAAGATATGGTTCGCGTTTATGCGGGCAGCAAAGCGAAAGAGTGGATCATATTGTTAATATAATATATTTGCAAATGGACAACATCAACAAGAATCCGATCAACTTTGTTCATTTGTCAATTTGTCACTCCCAACATAGTTTACCCATTTTTGGGTAGGTTTAGTTTTGACCGATCTGGGTGGATTCTACCGAAATTTGGGTAATTTTGAAATAGTTTGTACGTTAAAACTAAAGCCCTCCAGGGCTGTGTTCCATTTGGTGAATATTCACTTAAATTTGACACTTCGAAATAAATTATAGAAAAATTCGAAAATCCCTCTCTTGCTGATCGTCCGATATTCGAAAAGGTGTTTGTCAAAATTGAGTCCTGATCTATCAAAAATAAGTCTGCTCAAATAGCAGGTTTATTTGAAAATTTTCCATCTGTCAAATTTAAGGGAAAATTCAGGCATAACATTTGATAACGGCACAAAAGCATTTGTAAACAAACTTTCTAAGGCCCTTTACACGCGAACCAAAGCACGCCCACGCAAACCAATACCACTTTCGAAAAGGTGATAGTTGCCCCTATTCGATGATGTTGTTGGTTTGCGTGGGCGTATTTTGGTTCGCGTGTAAAGGGCCTTAGAAAGTTTGTTTACAAATGCTTTTGTGCCGTTATCAAATGTTATGCCTGAATTATTCACCAAATGGTGACATTTCAAAAGTAATTTTCTATGTTCGAATATCTCCGTGCTGTCGATCGACCGGTTTTCAACCCATGGTTGTCAAAATTTAACTTCTTGTCTGTCAGAAATAACAAAGCTCGGATAGCAGGGTTCATCGATACACAGCAAAAAAATGTAATAACGATCAACGTAATTCAAGCTGATGAATGAAATAATGATCTAATCGAGGGGGGCGACACATCTAAATCTCAAGTCTAGATGCTCAACAAATCTCACACTAGGGAATCAATCTTCGAAAAATCTTCTTTCATTTCTCGCATCTACTTGCATCGCGCATCATCTTTTTGCAGGAAATCTTCAGAATCGTCGTCAATCTTCTTTCTATCTACTCAGCGTGCTCTCAGCTAGCCACAGCAAAACACAATCTTTCCTGCATCGTAGATAGAGTCGTCCCCCTCGGATCTAATAGCAAAAAGCAGATGCAATATTACATCAATGGATGTAATTTTGTTCGTAAAATCGATGTACATCGTACAATGTGATATTACACAATCGATGGATTGACCTGGTTGCAGCAGTTTCGATGTAATATTCAACAACTTTTTTGCTGTGTAACTTTCAATTTGTCAAATTTTAACTAAAAGTTAAAATAATCCACCAAAATGGTTCAGAGCCTAAATCGAACACAGACTCTTTTCATGCCATAAAAATTCAGGGCTGTACTGGAATAAGATAATTTCCGGATTAGGACATTTTTACTGTGAACAAAACGTCAAACGGTCAAAATAATCTCAGTTAAAAACGTCAATCGTCCGTGTCAGTATATTTTCACTCTTCTTGGATCTTTTCAGTCGTTTTGGAAAATACATATATTTTTGGGATTTCAATTCAATTTTTCGCGTTACTTTATAATACTCGCCCTATAAATAGTAAGCAAAGTTAAATTGTCAGGAAATGTTATCATAGCGTACTGTTGACGCGGAAGTAATGAGAATTTTCATTTTATTGGTATACAAAGTTTTTGCTCGTATATTGGACGTCTTGAACAAGTTTTTCAACGTGCCCAGACTTCGACACCTTCGCGAGGTCGTTGATGTAAGTGCCGAGGACATGAGTGGGGAAAACAATTCTACTGCTGAAGCTCACGATGGATATAGATTTCGGCCTTTTGAAGTGAAGCAGATCAAACATAGAAGCAACACAAACACTGGACACGAAAAGTCCAAGCCGTACGCCAGAAGCGGTCACAGGATCGTTTGTAGCGATTCAGCGCTCTATTGCTTTGGGGGATTCAATCCGAATATGGCAGTGGTTAACGATGACGATGATGCTTCTTCGTTGTTTCAAGAGTTGTGGAAGTATGATTTATTAAAAAATGAATGGACATTAATCATGGATCCCAGCAATGACCTACCGCAGGAGCTAGCATCTAACGCGATGATTTTGCACGGAGATACATTGATAGTAAATGAAATGAAGCATCTGATTTGCAACAATGATTTACTGAAATATTTGTTTTTAATTAGCTCTTCGGAGGTACAGGTTTTCCGTTCGGTGTAAATTGTTCGAATCGATTGTATGTCTGTCAGCCCGCAAGGAAACCGAAGGAAATGACTGAGATAGCCGTCAAGGGTGATCTCCCACCTGCACAGTATGGTCAGACAATTCTTTATCATGACGGTTTTCTCTACACCATTGGAGGAACCGAGGGCTTTAACTACACCTGTGATGTTTATAGGTAATGTAGTGAGTTGTGTTGATGTGATAGGTAGACATAAATGTGAGTTTATTTCAGGTTGAATGTTGCATCTAAAACATGGGAATGTGCCTATGCTTGTCGACAGGATATTGGTGATGATCCCCCTGGAAGGTATCGGCACGAGCTTGCCTTCGACGGGGAAAGGATTTACATTATTGGTGGAGGAACAAGCGAGTCGGCTTTCAGCTTATCGTCCATTCCGACGTATCATTTGAAAAGAAACGTGTGGACATACACAGAAACTAAGCCCGACACCAATCTCCCTCGCCCGGGTGTCCCGGCGGCTAGAAAGTGTCACTCTTGTGTTCAGTATCAGACTGATAACGGAATGGAGGTTGTGGTTGCTGGCGGATATGATGGTCGATCATATTATAAGGACATTTGGAAATTGAATCTCTCCACATTTGAGTGGCGCCTGATGCAAAAGTCGGGGTTACCTTATCCACTATTCTTTCACGACGCAGCCGCTAGCATTGCTGGGTGCATGTACATCTTTGGTGGCATAAAATTTAGCTTCAACAATAACGTCCGAACCAATGTTGTGTATAAAACTTGGATGACTATTCCGAAACTAAGTGAAATATGCTGGGAAGCTCTGCAGCATTACAGTCCCAGTATCGTTCGAAAATCGAAAAGTAGCTTACTGGAAGCGGGAATTCCTCTAAAATTCGTTCAAAGAATCCATGAAACGTAGCTCTTCGGCTCATTGGTTGTTCGGGTTTTAATGCTGTTG